AAACGAATCTCTTCTTCATGTACTTTCATTCGAAATGAAGGTCCCCCTAACGATGTTATCTCAGGAGATTCATCTAAACCAAGTTTCTCTTCGTATCATTTTCTTTACTCAAAAGACATGTTGCCGGCACGACTCATAATTGGCCAAATTCCTACACCGAAATTCCCATCAACTTAAAGCTATGGGTGACCAGTATGAAAGAGTGCTGCTACGAGTTCTGTTTGGTGAGACAAGATTTTTTCATAAGTTCATGGCATTTTGCGGCTAAACGATCTAATTGTCAAAAAGCTTCAACTGACATTCCTTTATTTTGTCACACGACCTACCAATCCTGAATATGTTTGCATCAATTTCCGGCTCATCTGAGCGTAGCACCAACTTACTGCGTGGTTTCGGTACCTATTCTCCCTCCATTCGTCCAGCCTCTTGCGCAATATTCCGTCTGCTGAGACACTCTTGCTTTCCGGCGCCTTTTGCAGGTTGAGCGCCCAGGCGAGACGTCGTTTAACGTCGCGAGGCGAAAGGAGGCTGTTGAGGCGAGCACCGTTGCCGACGCTTCTGCTGGCAATGGACCCCTTCGGCGTGGACTCATTCGACGGCGCCTGCAGTCGGAGAGGAATCAGTCGAGCTGCCAGCTCGTCACGTGACGCGTCGACGCAGCGACTTTGCGTTCCGGTTCCGGTTCCCGTTTTGGTTGCGGTTGCGGTTGCGGTTGCGGTATCGGTACCACTTGCTCTTTCGGTTTCAGTTTCGGTTTCGATTTGAGTTCCGGTTTCGTTTTCATGTCCATTGCCGCTTTCACTTTTATTTACACTTTCGGTTACGGTTACGATTGCGGTTGCGACTCCGGTTAGGGCATCGGTCGCGGTCTCGCAATCGAAAGTCGGGGTTCGGGCTTGGGTCCGATTTCGTGTTGGGGCTCGGTTCTGGGCCGGCGCCGGAAGACGGTCTGTCCTGGCGGTGGGACTGTCGACCTCGGTTGTCCACGAACGAATGTTCGAGTCGGCTGCGTCGGCTGCGGATCCGTTCGAGCTGGCCGACGACGCTCGGTCGGCCAACAATTGCTCCTCCGGCCGAGATGGCCGACGCACTCGGGCCAATCTGGGGCTGGAGATGAGACGCTCGACCGGTACCATTCGACGCAGCCGGAACATGTGTCGGCCCGGCGACAAGCCGACAGAGGACAGGTTGCAGCTGGGCTGGTTTGCCGGCCAATCCCTCGGAGGCTGGCTGGCCAAAGAGGCCACGGCCGCGCAGGGCATCATTTCTGTGAGGGAAATCCTGTCGAGATTTCGATAGCCCAAGGACCATCGTCGAGCTGGACTCAATCCAGACGACCTGGGCGTCAGGTTCATGACCGGCCGTAGACACCGTCGGCTGTTCAACTAGCCCAAAAGATGATGGCCATTTCGAGTTCGAGCACACCTTTGGGCAGGTGTGGAGCACTGGACGCTCATTGGTCGAGCCGCACAACAGCCAATCAGCATCAAGCCAGCCTTCAGCCAATGGGCTTGCGGGGAGATGGGCAAAATTGCCAGTTGCATGCTGACCTATCGCCAGCCAGCTTTGAACCGTCAAGCGCATCATAACAATGGCATTCAGATACACTCGTCATTTGGCATCTTCAGTTCTGTTGTGAACAAGTTCGTCCGAGGGAACTGTCTCCCGGAGGCGTCGTCATCGTCTGGCAAATTGACTCGAGTTGGTCGTGGCAGCTCCGGTAGACGGAGGGGACAAAACTGACATTTTTGCAACCATACAGACTTAGACGCAGCATTCATCGCGGCTCGGACGATGAGAATACGCAAGATCAGCGGCTCGGTCTTACTTTATTCGATTCATTTTTTCGGAATTTCTTGTCGTCTCCTTTTCGTGTCTCATCCATTTTGGTGATGGGACAAAGAGAATTGGAAGTAGGCTCGAAAAATGGTCATTTTAACTCATATTACGAGGCCGTGCATACAGTCTCATACATTGCCGAACAGGTTTCATACGAAAATGGCAAAGCTCTGGTGTCTTCAGCCTCTCGCCGTTGGGCCTCTTTTGTCGAGCATCAAAGCGATGGCAAATGTGGGATCAAGTAGAGCAATTGTGTGAAAAGCTGATTCACCTGCTTTCACTTGACCTTTTAGAACCATGCTTCAAGAGAAAGTGGTTAGAGCAGTGGAAGTCTTTTCGCCTGGCCTTATTTAAGGAATCTCAATTTCCAGAAAAGTTCCGACTTGTCTTGCTATTCTAAGCTCCACCAACATGTGCTGAATTTGACGTGTTTTTCAGAAAAGATCTAACATTTCTTAACAAATCTCACAATAAAACCCTTTTACAGCCAATTATCTAGCAATGACATTATTGCCATTGAGCCGACTCAGTCATCTACTTATGAGTAGTGTAAGCCCATAAGAAAGATGAAATTAAATTTGAACACAGGAAATATATATACTTTTCATTGCAAGGTTTTGTTGAGCGGAAGGTGAATGTAAATATTTAGCATTTTTTCACCAAACTATTACTCGTCATGACTAACCTTATCATTTTATGAAAAGTATCTGCTCGGTAATTAAAGCCACGATAGGAATCTCAAGCAAGAATTTTACTCTTTTTCGTTAAAGCGACTGCTTATAAAGCTTCCCTATTACTGACATGCTCTTACTCGAGATGTGGAATCGTCTACCTGTCTAGAATGAAGCTGCTCAATAAAAAGCGGTTAAATAGGTGTAATGTTTAGTCTTATCTGAAGAATCTCAATTCATGTAATATTTCAGCCTCGTTTTGCTAGTTTATATATCACTAAAGATGGTCAAATTAGACTTTTTGGGATTGGATCAACTTTCTCTGTAAAATTTAACTTTATTCACCTCATCAACAACAAAGAGCCAGTTATCTACTCATAAGTAGTGCAGATGCAACAACAATATAAACTCAAATACTAACCTAAGTATTATGTACTCTTGATCCCGAATGTTTGTTAAACGAAAGAAAAAACCAGTGAATGAGTAAAAATACTCATTGATGGTTTGCTTTGTGTCTACTAAACATGAACGAATCATGTTTAAACGTGTTACTATGCGTTATCTCCCATCTATTTGCCTACTTTTTCCACGAATGAAGACTTGAAATATCACTCAAGCTGGGACTTTAGTTATCGTAATTGGCTCAAGATGATTTAAGGCCCGACGATTGCTCAGGCCTCAAGTGGATGAATACAGCAAGTTGCTTAAATTGAAATGCCTTCGCTTGAGTTCTGGAAGCAGTGAATTGTGTGAACTAGCCATAATTACGAGGACATGATTAAATCAGCAAAATGCATTTTTCCTCAATGAGACTCGGCTTCACCTGAAGAATCTCAATTCTGGCAAGGGCTTAATTCCGTGTTTATATTTTAAGATGCACCAAAGTGTGCTGAATCAGAAATCTTGTCTGACAAAGCCAATTTTCTTTGCATACCTCAAGCTAATTCCTCCTTTCAAGCAATTTTCCGAATAAGATATTATTTTCGTTGATCCGGCTGAACTATCTACTCATAAGAATTCCAAGTCCAGAAAGATACTGAAATCACATTTTCACATAACGATACTATATGCCCTTGGTATGAAAACCCTGTTAAACGCTATTTAGTTAGAATTAAAAGTAATAAAAATGTTTATAAAAGCTTTATTTTCATGGCTTACCACTCTGTATTTGGTATCAACAATCTATTTGCATACTCTCTCACTGGCTGAACTCACGATAGAACATTCAAGCAAGGCAGCTTAAGTCGATTCAACGACTGAGGACCAGGTCTCAGAATTCCATTAAGTTTCACGTGACAAATCTTTCTACTTCACCGCCGGTGCGATTGGAGACAGGATCATGCACGTCAATCAGCAACATGTTACTGCACCGTAACAGCCGTGGAAATCATTGGAAAACTGGGTAGATGTGATTTTCAAGGCATAACATATTTCTCCAAATTCACACTCTCATAGTAGGCCCTTCGATGAGGCAAACATATATTTGTCACTACTTTCGACAATATTGCGTATAAACGATGAGTAAATATTAAATAAGAGGCACATATCTTTGCTTAAATCACTTTAATCAGATAGAACTGATTTGACAAAATTCCCTCTAACCTGAAATGTCTGGATAATGTAGAAGTGTATTACACAAAACTAACTTTATTGCAGAAGCTCGTTTAGAGGAGAGATCCTATCGGAAAATATGAAATTCTGCATTTCTACTGGAATTAGTAAAAAAATTTAATAATGCATATTCGTCCAAAAATGATTCTGCTTGTAATTATCACGTTTGAAAATGCTTGAAAAAACATAAAGTATCAATCAGACAGCCCTCCGTTTCCGATTGAGATACGTCAGAGCCCCATTGCAATTGATAAATATTCCCAAAAGCACTTATTCCTATCGCTTTTGTACTAAATGTTAATCAATCTCAGAGCCTACAAACCATTCAGGTCAACCAGCACAACCAAATGCTTGCCGAAACGCGATTTTATCAAAGTCAGGAACCAATTGTTTAGTGCAACATTCGCGTACACTCGAGACTCGGTAATTTAATTTCGGTCTTTGTGCAAAGAAGGTCTTCGAAACAATAGCATCGAATACTGCCTCACTTGCCCACCTAAAGTAAGGGTTGTGTTAATGAAAAAAACAGCGAATTCTAAAGCGGAATTAGAATTTATAAAATAATGATAAAAATAGAACAAGTTACTACTTTATGCTGACCTCTGCTAGTTAAACTCTTCAGGATCTGTCTTATTCTAAATATCTACCTGAATTGTCTCTAAGCTGACAAAGTTTATAGTAACATAATATAAACTTACTATTCTAAATTGATTCGGCATTTGCATCTACCCAAAGTTGAAATCTTTTAGAATTGTAACCTCTATTTTTAAAGTGTATGCTGACGACAAAAAAAGAAGTTGAATGTCACCTCATATATGAAGGTTTCACATATTTACGAAAATTCCCAACGATGGATTTGGCGCCGCATTTATATTAGCTACTATACAATCTAATTAGGTACAAATTTTAATTTTTGTTATTTACTATAAGGCAGTAAATCAAGATTTTGACCTGACTAAATTTATCCGTCATTGGCTAAATATGTGGATTAGTATGTTTTGAATTTATTGTTAAAACAAATAAAACTTTGCTTCATCAGCAATCCCACCAAAGAATGTGATATGGGAAGATGTCTGTCCTTCTTTGAAATTGACATCTGCCCCGTGACCCAAGGACACCCGCCGCAATGTGGCCAAGTGGTTAACGTGTCAAACTCACCCGCTGTACCGTCATGGTTCGACTCCCGCTGGGGGTCCTGAGGAGACGCATGCATGGTCGAAAATGTGGTCTACTCTGGAAGAAAACACCTTTTAGAAAAGCAGGGCTATGCTAAATTCAGTAGAGGCGTCAGCTCTACTCATAGCATTGTAGGAAAATTCAAGTAGCAATCTTTCTTCCACTTAAAACAAACTAGACTGAATACATCTCAGTGTTTTAGTATGCCTGAAAGAGCCTGCTTATGTATTCCAATTTTGTTTCCAATTGTTTCGCCTTGCTGATATAGAAACATATTGGCAGGAAACTGTCGTATAAGAGAAAGATGATGTAAGTAATAAGAAAATGACGCGATTAACTCTATGCATGCAAAATTTTTCGTAGCTAAAATGGTTTAGTTAGGAAATTTAATAAAATATAGATTAATAATATGTATAAATATATATGCTTACACAAATATCAATAACATAGTAAAATAAATATAGACTAATAAATAATATACTCTAAGAATAAATCGGAATAAATATAATAAAAGATATTCTATGATGTAGATATATAAATATAATTAATTAATTAACGAATTGTTTATTAATAGTATTTTCATAGATATAATGTTATCGTTGTTAATATATTATTAATATAGATATTATATATTATAAATAATTATTTAATCAATCATTATCCAAACAATCATGCCAGATACTTAATTAATTATATTTTGATAATCGTTTCGATTTATATAATTATTTTTAATT